ACACACACACACACACACACACACACACACACACACACACACACACACACACACACACACACAGTGAGAGGCCTGCTATTATTATATTACTATTATTTGTTATATCCATTAAACTTAAACCTGATTATAATCTGATCAGTATCAAGCAGTTAAGCTTCATTAACTGTCAGAAAAATCTTATGAGTTATAGTTCGGTGTTCAACAATTATGACACTTAATACCATTTCTCTTATTCACAATCATGTATAATGATGGGTTAGTGACACATTTCTTATCTTTCACATGCCTGCAAACACACAGAGACACAAATCTAAACTGGATCATGTCTATTTGTCTATGCAAACAAAATCCAAACACTACAATAATTTTCATTACTTGAACTGCATTTTTCATACAGCATATTGATTAGATTTCTTTCGTGACTTTCATAACCAAGAATAAAGATGATTTACAATAAGCAAAAGCACATGTGGATAAACTCTTTTATAGCACTCTGTGTCATTTTTGACATAAAGTCTGGATGTTAAGACCTTTTACCCTCTCTCAGATGTAACTCATTGTCATGCCTGAACCACTGATACAACATAGGATGGTTTAGTTCGTGCTGTTTACACCAAATTCTGACCCTACCATCTGTTGAACTTCAGCATGTCATCTTGATCAAGTCTACATGCATAAATTAATTGGGCTGCTGCCATGTGATTGGCTGTTAAAGAGTAATTATAGTGTACCTAAAGAAGTGGCTGGTAAATGTATGAATCACAGATTTGGCCCATGTTTGCAGAAGAAAATCTAACTGGTTGGTTTGTTTATGGCTGTGCTTCTCAATAACAGACCCCTCTGGATTTGAATCAGCTTTATTTGTGTTGCTTCAAAATCTCAGGTCACTTTAGATCACATCTAACTGAACTGCAGAGGTTACATCACATCAGCCTTAAACTGCACATTTATGCTGCCAGCAAGTAAATGTGAGAAAGTTAACACACCAAAGTAGGAAGATTAAGCTCATATAAGTTATATTATGAACAACTTCTGTCAATCTTATTTGTGCCTCATTTCTTTCTTGGTGATTTTGTTCTTCTCTGGTTTTCATTGTCCTTTCGTCCCACTAGTTTCCCACTAACATGTGAATAAGCTCACAGCTTTAGCTTGGAGCAAGAGCTATAGGCTTACACATGTCTAAGCACAGTAAACACCACATTAACAGATGCTCTACACATACTATATGCATGCATGACCACCAAAGCAAACCAATGGTGTAAATTAAAAGTGGTGGCTGTGTACTCTTTTATCAATTCTTTCTTTCTTTATCTACCAGGTGGTGATTCGAGGAGAACTTTCAGCTGACAGCGAGGCCTCTGAGGTCCTGGCCATCGATGACTTATCCTTCAGCCCCGGCTGCGGGGCTGTGTCTGGTACTGGTACCATTAATAACATCGCACCACACAGACAGCACAAGTTCACACCCTGACATTTTGAAATATCGCCGCACATAAACAGACCCCCACAAACTTGTTTTGAATACCGATACCAGGGAGGTAGGGTGCTAAAACACCTGGGATGGCATTCATAACAGAATAACTGCATCGTTAAAATAGTGCTTAGTGCATGTTTTGCTCTGAATATGGAGCGTTTTTTGTGTGTGTTGGCTTATTTGTGTCGGCTGTAACGTGCCGCCTGCAGCTCCGTGATGAATTTGATGCGGTTCAATATCTTGACCGGGAGCGTTCAATAAAGCACTGTCCAGTTGGCATTTTGGACATAATCTGAACATGTTGCTTTCACATTATTTTATACAGTTGCGAGCCCAAAGCATAGCATCACCACAGCCTGTTCATGTTCTCTCATCATGAAATAAACAGCAGTTGAACTTTTTTATTGACTACAACCTTGAGCTTATTTTCACCACAAACTGAATAACAACAGGTCCTTATGATGGGACTTTGGTGTAGAAGGATGCAGAGCAGGGCAGCTCGGCTCGTTTGTGATGAATGTGAATAACCTTTAAAAAATTAACTCATAGAGGTTGTAGCAAAATTGTATGTTAAGGAAGAGAGCCTTCCTAACTAGGCTTCATTTCTGTGACTAAAACTTTCAAAAATGTACATTTTTCATGTAAACATTAAATCTAGTTGCAATCTGTATGTGGAGTGTTGCTCTTGGCATTTTCAGCTCATTGTTTTTGGTCAATCCCAGTAGACTTATTTATTACCTACCCGGCACCAGAGCGGCAGCTAATGAGACATTATTTTCTTCAGGAGATGGTGAAGATCTAAACTGTGCACAGGGGAGGAGTGAATGCTGGTGCTGTATAAACAGGCAACTGTTTTCAACATGCTTTCTATATAATATTAAAGTTGTCAGTTTTTTGTTTACAGCCTTTTATCTTTCTTTCTTTTTTTGCTGCTCCCAAATGGGGAAAAAGTGGCAAAGAGTATTTAATAAATGCAAAAGATCTTGTCACTGCGTATTCTTAAGAGTGTGGTGAAGCATCACCAAGCCTAGTTTGGCATGTCTAAGTAGACGAGACAGTTCAGTGTCACCTTGGCTCATGGTCCCTTTGCTTCCATCTGTCTTCTGCACTCACAGTGGATTTATTAAAAGCTCCAGACTTCAAAAGAGGACTGTTAGTGTCCCTTTAATCACATAAAAACCAATAAACCAAATGCTAAATAGTGCATAACAGACAGCTCATTAGTCAAATTTTAAACTCAAATCAACTTAATACTTTTTTCTTTTACAGTCAAAACTCTGCTAACACTACCTGAGCTGTACATATACGATATAAGACACTGTTTTGAAAAGTGTCCGACATCTAATCATGCCAACCACAAGGATTTTTATACATCCTTTATTATTCATCCTGTCTCATCTATGGCCGATTTATTTGTTAGACTCAGTACTGGCGGCTTCACATGATCAAAATATAACCAATATATCTGAGCTGTGATCGAGTGGATGTGGCTTTGGAACTAAGTTGCTGTAACTGTTTACCACGTTGTGTTGCAATCATTATTTTTCATTTGTGTTCTGCACAGGAGTTCATTTTATAGTTCTCAAACTGAGTGCACAAGTTTGCAGACAGAAAACTATTTTCAGGCAAACCTTTTTAAATGATATAATATTCAGTTATGCTTGTGGTGTACAGAGTTAACGTCATGACTTGGACCTCTGGTTAAGTTCAGGCAACAAAGCCGCTTGGTGAAGCTTTGCAGTTATACATTAAATGTTAAAAGACCAGTTTTGAAAAGACCAGTTTTGGTTAACCCTTTAATGCCTAGCCTATCATATTTGACACATTTGATACAAAAAAGAAGCCCAGTACAGCAAATATGATACAACTTACAACTCATATATGCAAATTATTATTTAATTAACTAAAAAAAACAGTTGGAGGGTTTAATAAATTCTTCAGTTTCAAACGTTTGAATTAATTTCTTACAATTATTTCATGGTTCACATTTCAAAGGGTTGAGCTTTGCTCTAGTTTTGAGTTAAATATTAGTAGACCGATCTTTTCTTTAAAAAAAAAAATAGTGCTCAAATATCCTCATAATTTTTGTGCAACTTTAAACAATATTTTTATAATTATCCCATTTATTTGAGAGAAAAGTATCCACATAGGTTTTATTTGCTATGAAGCCTCCATCCATCCATCTATCCATCCATCACAAGGGCAGCAGCCTAAGCAGAGAAGCCCAGACCTCCCACTCATCCAGGGGAACACTGTGGTGTCTCCAGGCTACCCGCGAGATGTATCTTGGGTCTATCCCAGGGCCTCTTCCCAGTATGACATGCTTGGATCGCCTCATTCGGCTCCTTTTAAGTGTAGGAGTATCAGCTCTACTCTGAGTCACTCCTGAATTACTGAGCTCCTCATCCTATCTCTAAGCGAGACAGTCTCATTCTTCTTATTGCAAATTAGTTGAACATTAAAGCAATCTGTAAGCAGCTGTTATGTGCCATTTAGAGTGTGGACACACACTGGACTGGCAGGCATAATAACAGAAGAAACTGCTGCTGAGTGATTTTCCAAATTGAATTCAACAAAAAAGACAATCCAAAAGAAAAAAATTACACCAGCAGGAAACGCAAGCTCTGGAAACAGCAGGGAGTGATAAACAGAAAGACAGCACACATACTGACCACCCCCAGTTCTCATTTCCAGAAATGCCTATCCTTGATTCCTCTCCTCGCGTCTTACTCCATCTCACAAAGATACGAGCAGATGAGGCGAGGGAGAGACACGAGGAAAGAGAAAGACAGCAGGCATTTAACAAAATGAGACATCCTCCCCTGTGAGCCTCGTTTTAAAGCGATGCCAATTAAATTTGATGCAACTACATCAAATATTCCTGCATTTCACGATTTCTGATGCAACAGTGCTCGCGACATGATTTATATTTAGGATCGCAACGCGGCTTAATGTGAAGTGATGCCATACGCTTTTTAAAGTTACAAACAGAAGCAATGCAGACCAGAAAGTTGGATCATCTTGAAGTAAAATCACTTCAACAAATGAGTCACCTGTGCATCCTCATTAATTTACATCTAGCCTCATTTCTCCTCTGTCCTCCTTCAGTGACCACTGAGATGGATTTTCAGGACACAGGCAGGAGGACAAAGGACAAAGGAGACAAGGACACATAAGCAGTGAAATGAGAAAAGTCGCAGAACTCTGGAAGCAGCGAGTAGTGAAAACTGATGCAGACAGTGGGAGAGATAAGAATGACAGGGCTGACTGGACACAGGTGAAAACAAATTAGGGTGGGGCAACAAATCAGAAAAGTGGGAAACAAGACAAGCACGGGAAGCAAAAGCAAGTGGGACATGCAACGTATTTAATATTTTCAGAGTATGAAATACTTTTAAAATGCAGCCAAGAGAAAACATGAACTAAAATTCGTAACAAAACCTGACAGCTTTACCTCTTAATGCTGTATTAATCCAAATCCGTCTCAGTTTTAATCCTTTCGGCTGAGTTTATTCCTTATTTCTTTTCAAAGAGAGATACTAAAAACTCAATACAGCAGCAAAGCAGCCTTTAAAAGACTTCATTTCAGTAGCCAGCCAGAAGCCATTTACAAATTAGGCAATTTTTCAAATGTTTCCAATACTCCTAATAAGAGGAATGAAGCTGAGTTCATTTGAGTGATAAGGTCTGAGATGATATTGATTAAAATATCCAAACTACTCAACAGTTGTATCCAGTCTTCCATAACATAGCTAATGCACTCTATCTCTACACAGTTAAGTTCATCTTTATCAATAACTGTGGTAGCAACTGTAACTCTTTATTAGCTCCTGACTATCAAAGAGCGTCTTGCCTGTGAATACTGCTTTCTCATCCAAATGTACTAATGTCGTGTTTTACTGGTCCTCTTATAGGGAGGAGGGTGTCCTCTCCTCCTGCCTGCCCTCCCTTGTGGTTCGTGTGCGATGATGGGGAGTGTATCAAGGAGAGCAAAGTGTGTGACTTCACCCCGCATTGTTCCTCTGGAGAGGATGAAGCCAGCTGCCGTAAGGATCTTATTTCTGAGTTCACACGTGAAAACAAACCAAATCGCACTGGTATGCTCGACTGAGCGACAGGCAGCATGAATTCCTGTTCATCCACTTTGAACCATATTATTACCTTAGTTAAATATGATTTCTATTTTTTTAATTATCTGATACCACATTCACATTTTAAGCTTCATATTTGTGGCGAACGAGTTTGTTTTTGTTTTTGCAGGATACATTTCTTATTAAATGAAAAAAAACAAACACAAAAATTATAAATATTTTAGTTCAAATCACATTTACAGTACCAAACGTCTTTAGGCACTCATTTCTTTATATTTTGCTTCCAAGAAACCAGACTTTCTCTTGAGCAACAGCTCTTCAGGCTTTCTGAAGGTCTCAGAGTTTTTCTCACTCTTATTCGTTTGTAGTCAAGTTCTTATACTTGAACATTTTCTGGGGAGTTTTAAAAAAAATTGTTAAGCCACTTAACACAGACCTATGAATTATTCAGTTTTTCAATTTTTCATTACCAAAGGCACCTAACTCATAGGAGGAACTAGCATTGTGTCTGCACATAACAGACTACTTAGCAAAAAACCAATTTTAAACTGCTTCTTTGGTCACTTTGCTATTAGCAGTCTGTTGCAAAAACAGATAATTTGTTCCCGTAAAAAAAATTCCAAAGATAACACAGTTTGAAAAGGATTAAAAAAAAAAAAAAAAAAGCGATTTTTGCAAATTTTGGTGTTTCCCAACAAAATATTAGCTGAAAAATCTGTGCAGCGTCTCCTAAAAAAAAAAAATTGAGAAAACTGGACAAGTGAAGGACAAAAGAAGAAGTCGATCCAGCAACAATCCAGAAATAGTTTTAGTGGAAAGTTGGCTGTGAAGAAGCAACTCTTAAGGTAGCAAAATAAGGAAAATCAATTTTTTTCAGTTCAAATCATCACAGTGAGTGTCAACAACAGGGTGGATTTATGAAAGAAGAAAACTACCCTCAGATTTGGATACAACATGCAGTAGCACACGGGAAGCATTTGATCGACAGCGGCTGAAATTTTCATCGTAACAATGATCCCTGATCCACTGGCAATGCAGTCAAAGCATACCTGGACAGAAAACACACAATAGCACACCATTAATCATGGATTGGCCTCTCCAGACCGCAACATTATTAAAGCAGTGTGAGATCATCTTGACAGAGAAGAGAATAAAAAAGCAGCTGTGTGTTTGCACATTTCACCACCAACAGCCAACAGCAGACCTACAGTAGAAACTGGATGCCAGAGTCAATACAAGAAAACAGACGGAGAAAACAGATTGGAAATGGTTCATAAGAAATACAAAGAGAACCTGGCAACTGAGTGGTGAAACAGCAGGGATATATGGGAAGACTTATTGGTGGCAGGTGGTTCACAAAACAGGTGGAGGGAAAAAAAGGAGGAGAAGTAAAACTGAAATTCATCAGAACTTCTCGTTTTAAATTGTGGCCTCCAGTTTTCCTGTTGTAAGTTTAATCTTTGGGAAATCATCCTGTTTAATGTAGAAGCTTTTTTTAATAAAAATTTAAATCCATTCAAATGATTAATCTACTTATTAAAAATCTTACTCTGCAGTAAAACTTGGGATTAAGTTTGTATTATTGACCTTTTACTCATAATTTGACAAAGCATGCTCATTTCAAGGCCCAGTAGAATCACTTGAACACTACAGTCTGATAAATCTTCTGGGAAACATCATGGGATGTGGCTGAAAATCATCTGTTAATGTTAATTTCACATCCAAGCCTCACCTTTATGTAACTTTGTCCTTTATGTCAATATATTTAGCCTCTGAGTGTGACTTTAAGAGTGATTCTTGTGGCTGGTACGAGCTTACCCTCGGCGATGGCTTTGACTGGGTCAGGGGCTCATCGATGGAGGTACCTCCAGACTACTATGGTCGCCCACCACCACTGGACCACTCCACGAACAGCACTGAAGGTAAGGGAAACAAACACACCACAAACCTGCTGTAGCAATGCCACCATGTGAGACATGAAGCCAGTGAGAAGGAGAAGGGAAATGCGGTAAGCCGATAACGTGATTTCACTGGATTCTAGCCAGAAAAAAAGATAATATTATCCACTGATTAAATTGAGGTTTTGTGGAAGAAAATTCCCGCACTGTCTTTTGTGAGATAAGCACTTCATGGAGAAACGCTTTCTCAGCCGTCTGAATAATAGAAAGGAAATCGACATATGCTTGTACCCATTATGCATATTAACATTATTTACAGAAATATACAAGACTCTGCAGAGGTCTATTCGAAGTTTGTGTGGCACAACATGCAACTGTATTTTTATGCCTCGTCGCATCTTCTTCCCTGAGGAGAATTAAGTCTATAGGGATGGATTTTAAAAGCAGTCTTCTTGAAGTCGGACTCCACGCAGGCACCATCTGTTGTTGTTCTCACGTAGGCTGTGTGAAGATGCTGTGAAAAAACTGCTCTGTAAGGTGGCTGTGCAGACTCTAAACTGAAGCTTTGTGAAATAATGACACACATCCTGGTGGGAGCATCTGTTTGAGGATGTAGATGACTGTGACCGCTCAAAGACTTATCTCGGGTGTGACAATGCGCAGGTATGTGGTGTGTTCAAAGAGTGATTATTTGGCAGTGGGACACCTTATATGAGCCAAGAAAACATTTCAACTTCATCACACCACCGCCTCAAACTGTACAGCATTAGACAGCATGGTTTCACCAGCCTATTCAAGCTGTTTGTGCCTTTCTAGACTTTTTAAACATGAGAACCACCAACGCTTTGCTCTGCAAAGATAAACACTGCATCTCTTATTCCAGTCTTCTATACTCTAAATATTTGTAATGTATTAGTAAGAAAGGAATCTTATTTATATTAGACTATGCAAAAGATGGACACCATTACATCAGCTATTAGCTATGAAAGTCCTGTTTATCAAGTCTCAAAGTGAGTCTTTTGGCCTTTATGTTGATGTTTTTCATGGTTTTATTGGTTTCTTCCATATTTTGAAACCTAGTGCCCTCACATTTTGCTGTTTCTCATGGAAAATCACCATAATTTGCATTACTTCAAACTTTAATATGAATAACTAATTCATGCATCCATCCATCCATACAATTTCAGCCCATCTGTATCCACAACCTGGCAAGCCATACCTAATAATCCAGTTATAGGTGTGTGTTTGAAACCAATGCTATGAAGTGCTTTTTTCATATTTTAATTTACTTAGAGAAGCATGGTAAATAACTTTTCTGTTATAATTTGTCATTAAAAATTGGAAACTTTTAGCTGCTCCCTCATTTCCCAATGGATCACCACAGCAGATGGATCCATGTGTTTGATTTGGCACAGATTTTACACCAGAAGTCTTTCCTGACACAACACTCCCATTAATCACACCAGGCATCACAGAAGCATGTGATCTCTTCTCTTAAATAGGTAAAGAAAGATTTGTTGAGGGAATTTTACAGAAGTTTGTAGAAATGTTTAATCGATTTCATGAAGGAAAAACTATCCTTTTGTAAGATACTAATCCCAAGTTGAACGAGTGAGTGTGAGTGTGAGAGTAGAAAGAATTTGCTTGTATGAATTGAATAGTTGTGAATGTTTGAATGAGGTAAGTTGTATAAAGTGCTTTGAGTGCTCAGATAGAGTAGAAAGCTCTATATAAGAACCATTCCATTTACCAAACTAATCATCACAACACGTCGCAAAATGACGAGGACATTATCTGTTCAAATACTCAAAGGTCAGCTTCACTGTTCTGCAGCAGTTATTTTTAATCACCAAGGAGAGACTGTGACCATATTTCACAGTTAGTCTGGTCCAGAGTAAGTGACACTAATCTTTGACGTCCCACTTATTAAATATCTTCAAGCTCTTAATTACAGCAAAGATTGTTTTAAGTTGTTGGCTGAAGCATATAAAACAGCACTGCTGTATTATTATAGCCACTATGTGGTTTTTTTGTTGCATCTCTGGTTTGAAAGAAAAGATAGAACCTGAACTAGAATCAAGTTAAAGAACTTTTCTATTCTGTGCCTACTTGCAGTTATCTTCCAGCTGAAAACTTCTTTTTTCTCAGCTTTGTTTTTTAAGCTGTATTATTATTATTATTATTATTATTATTATTATTATTATTATTATTATTATTATTATTATTATTATTATTATTATTATTATTATTATTTTTGTGCT